AAGGGGAAAAACGTGCAAGTGACAAACTCCTAATTCATGTGGGTTTGTTTGTGTTTTATAAGGCATGCATTAAGCCTTGCAATAATGCATGCCTCCAGGTCATTGCCCAAAATGTATTTGGGATTTGGTTTTAATAGCAGTAAGAGATTACCCAGGCTTGCAGAGTGAGATGTTTGGAACTTGCAGATTATATTTATGCAAGCAATTATTTCTATATGCATAGAATTTCATGAAAAAGAGATGCAAAGCCTTGCAGCCATCCACCATCTTCAACATGCAGGCAGAGCATCCATATGAGAGACAAAACCTGTCTGTCAGCATACTCCTGTTCCCTGCAGCAAGGGATGTTTTATACCCTAATCACAGCAAAACAAGATGATATGTATTCTCATTTTACAGAACTGTTTTGAAAAAAATGCAGTATATCTGCAGCCAAGGTAATGTAAACTAAACTCATAATCTGTGAACGCTGCCTTTGGGAAAATCACATCATCTCATCCTTGCACTGAAGGACAGCTGTAGGTTATGCAATCTTTTCTATATGGGTCTGACACATACTTTCTTTAAGAATGAATGATTTGGGGAATTTTCCCAGCATCTGAGAATAATGTATATTTGTAACTCCATTTGAAGAATTGCTTTCTTTTGCACACACAAATACTTGTTGAGTTTACAGTAGAAGATTGTATGTATGCCCACATACACACACACACACACACACACACACACCTACAAATGGTTTCGAATCTTTTATCAGAAACTCAAAACCTCTTGTGAGTGCTATTATAGAATGAATATTGATAGAAAAGTTGTACTCACAAGAAAATAATGACATATTCTACTAATCATCTTTGTTGCTTTTTACATTATGGAAGAACTACATTCAATTAAGCCTCCTGGGATGTTCATACATGCAGTGAGAGATGGGTTATAGTAAGTGATTTATGAAAAATCAATTTCTATAATAACCAAGTAGTTCAGAAAATTTCAAGGGGAGAGAGAGAAAGGGAGGATCAAGAGTTGGCATTTCTATTCGAAGTCTTTAAAGACAACAGGCAAAAAGGAACATACTGTATAATCTGCCAAATCCTTAACCATGAAAAACACATGCTGAAATTAAAAAGTTGTGAAAAGTCACATAGCATTCTTACCTTAGTTTAATTATAATCTATGGTGAATACAAATTGAGTCAGTTCTATTGCTTTATTACTATATAACATATTTATATTTCACTATAATAATCAGGTGTTTGCTTCCTTCTTCCAACCCATTCTACCACCAAGAAAGAAAAATGTTTCAGCTCCTCCCTTGATTTTCTCTCTGCTTCAGCATTTAACGGTATAAAAACGATACCCCCAAGAGTTTGCAATCTCTGCAGTATGAGGTAGAATTAAGTTGTTTTAAAATGAGACTTGCAACAGCCTAAAACAATAAAACCTCCTCTCAGGGTTTACTCTGTTTTTTCTTCCCATCCTCCTGTCTGTCTTTATTTCTGCATTTCTAGTGTTAATAGGCAGTGTACTATCTGGCTATAATTACAGCAGCAGTCCCCTAACATTTGTTTCCTCTCCAGTTGCATTAAATGGCAGATAGATAGATAGATAGATAGATAGATAGATAGATAGATAGATAGATAGATAGATAGATAGATAGATAGATAGATAGAGATGAGAGATAGAGATGATAGAGTCTTGCTTATCCTTTCTGCTCATGTGGAAGAGGAAAGAAATGCAGGCTTTCTCCTTCCACCTCTTCCTTCCACCCCTCCCTTCATTTGATTTCATGGGTGTGGC